CTAATAAGTGTGTGCTAATAAGTATGTGCTAATAAGTACGTGCTAATAAGTGGCAAAGGATAGCGTGCTATGAAGGATCACATTGGTAAAGTGCAGGCGTACTGTGTAGAAGACTCAATCTCTCCATTGATTTCCAGTTCGATACTTCCGAAGGAATAATGGTTATGGCGTTGTAATCGAGTGTAAGTTTGATCAACGAAGTCGGTTGAAGTAAAGAGGAGGGTATGCATGTTAGTTGATTGTATGCGAGAGATAAGGTTAGTAGAGAGGTAGTGTGAATCGTGGGTATGGTTGAGATCTTATTATGGTCGAGATTGAGATAGATAATCTTGGAGCAGTGTTCTAGGCATTCGGTGGGGAAGGATCTGAGTTTATTTTTCTGCAGCAGTGCCGTCCTGAGAGCGGGTAAAGCGTTCCATACATCGTTATGAATCTGGGTGATGTGGCTACCTTGACATATCAGTTCCTGTACCTGTGACAAATCCTGTGTGGCATCAGTCAGCTTCAGGTGCTCCAGCCGTAGTACCGTAACACCCACCAACAGGTTGACGGGTATCCGCAAGGAATCTGTGCCCATTACATTTTTTATATGCCGTCCATGAAGAAAGCAGTAGAGGCGGATGCAGCCAGGGCGAACGACGAAGATAAGGGAAGACAAAGAAAGACTAAACAGTCGGGGTCCCCGAAGGTAGCGGCAGGGTCCCCGAAGGTAGCGGCAGGGTCCCCGAAGGTAGCGGCAGGGTCCCCGAAGGTAACGGCAGGGTCCCCGGAAGTAACGGCAGGGTCCCCGGAAGTAACGGCAGGGTCCCCGGAAGTAGCGGCAAACCAGATTGTTGAATTTAAGAAGTTATGCTATGACGTTCGCGCATCTTCCGTATATAATGAACAGGACGTTGTGCACGCCCTGAAGGAAGCTGCGGCTGAACTAATTGGCAATGCCAAAGAAAGCGGTACCTACTTTGTCCGAGAGTCTTATAGACTTTCCAACTACATGATCGTCTTTGGCTGGATCGCAATCGCTAGCGGGCTCTACTGCTTTAGATTGCAGTATAATAAAGAGAATAAAAAGACCATCGCCCTTACAGCAGCCCTCTACTGGGTGGTCGCAGTGTCGTTCTTTATCATCGACTTTGCATGTACTGATAAATTGGTCTCAGCATTCAGACTCAGCAAGAAAAAAACTGACTACAAAGTTTGTTTCACATAACGGATTTAATCCAGACACGGATTTAATCCAGACACGGATTTAATCCAGACACTCTCTTGCGAAAGAACACATTTAAATCATCTCGTTTTAGTCGAATGCCATATATCTTCATTATGAACCAGAACAGGCGATGGTTCGCTGGGTCACAACGAACCAGTTCTCTTATATTTCCTCCCTAAAGGGAGGTATAACCCGTTGTTTCCGTTTGAAATCCGTTCCTTATATTCGTGGGCTCCTATACGTCCTTGAGAAAATACAACCTCATTCCGCAGCCAAATTCAACGTTGGAAAGCGCAGACAACAAGCGATCGAGTTACCCAAGGGCATGGATCCAGTGGACATCAGTAAGTCTGTCATTTCAGTTCTCGAAAGTGGCGTTGTTCCGATCAACAAGAAAACGGACGACAAGGAACAAGTCGGAATTCTGCTGGAACGGGACGTGACCCATTACTTTGATGATCAAGGGTAGGATACTAATCTTAATTCACACTAGTACAGATTTGTCACGAGGAGAGATAGTCTCTTTTTTGTAGATTCGTGATTCAGGAGAATTTGGAAGAGGACATTAAAACTTTGTTTTTAACAATCTAAATATTTTTTATGTCTTCACCACTTGAGAGGAACCGCAGGGATGCTGAACCAGGTGTTCAGCAGGCGATTGTCTCGGTGTTCAAGAACCAGAAGTTCAAACGGATGATGGTCTTCTCCATCAAGTCTCTGTCTGAATTCTGTGTTCCTCCCAATAACAGATATAAGTAAGTACCCCATACATAAATAATACACCATACATGCTTAATACATGTCTGCTGTCCTACATGTCGGGTACCGTATATCTCTGCCGACCGATATTACGATGTCCGATATTACGATGTCCGATATTACGATGTCCGATCTTACGATGTCCGATATTACGATGTCCGATATTACGATGTCCGATATTACGATGTCCGATATTACGATGTCCGAGATCCTGGCGCGCAGTTGATTGTACTGACTTTTTAGAGAGAACGCATTGTCTGTTGTGGAGAATCCGGAGTTCCCTCGTTTGTTGGAGAGCATTTCGTTGTTCAAGGAAGACGAAGAGGTGTTAGTCCTATTTGGTAAGATTTTCTTTGGTGTCAGTGAAGGCTTGAAGGATGAGCCAAGGTTATTGAATGAAGTGGTTTCTAGTGGTATGCCTGAGAAGGTAGTTGAGGCTATGGCAGGTGGTGTAAATGACGAGACGGGAATTCAGCATTATTTGGATTGCATTAAGAACTTAAATACATTGAACATCCCGATTAATATGAGTGGCATCGTACCTGGTTTATTACAATCATTGAAGTCTAAGATGAAGAGTCCGATGTGTTTGCGCACCCTGAAGGCTATCGAGCAATCATGTCAAGAACCGGGTGTGCCAGCGATGATTGGATCACAGGGAGGTGTTGAGAAGGTTTTGGCAGTCGTTGCGGGTCGCAAAGATTCGCCAGAGTGCGTGGTCAGTGCTCTTAAGATTGTGGGTGCTACGGCGAAGGCGCATAAAACGACTCCGGCAGATCTTGAGAAAATAATTAATTTGGTTGATGCTAATAAAAACCATGCAGGTATTCAAAAGGCCGGTTCCGAATGTATTGCGGCCATCGTTAATCCAGATGATCTGAAACAGTGTCTGTCCACGTTGAAGAATTCGGCACCGGAAAGTCCGGAGCGCGAGAACGCGCTGACGTTGTTGAGTTCTATGTCGTATATTTCGTCTTGCGCCACAGAGATTGCCAAGGGTGGTAGTATTCCGCTGGTGGTGGATGCGTTGAAGGAGACCGTGCAGCAGCTTAAGTCGAAACAGGATGCAAAGACACACAAGTCGGTTGTGGGCATTACCAAGATGCTTTTGGCTGTGGGACAGAGTCCGGATTCGCGCAAAACAGTTATTGACGTTGGTGGTCTTGATGCGTTGCTGGAGACGCTGAAGAATGTGGACGCCCGCAAATACCCCAGAGCTTATAAAAACACCGTGAGTGCTCTCGCCACTGTGTGTGTGGATGAGCGCACACACACCAAGCTGGCGTCTGTGTGCGAGTTGGTCGTAAAGAACATGGACATCGGCAACGAAGTGTTGCCGTGTTCGGCAGAACTCATGCGCCAGTCAGGTAGCTGTCCGGGATGGGGATCAGCCAAGGCACCCGAGAAGCTGGCAAAGTACGCGAGTGCGCTGCCCGAGGACCAGGTTTACCACGAAAGCGTCGTAGGCGCCGCGAGCCAGATGCTACAGATGAACGCCGGTACAAGCGCACAGTTGGTCCCGATGATAGAGGCCGTGTCCAAGCTTATTTCTGCGTCGTGCGAACACTCCGTCGTGGGACGTGAGGCAGCCATATTCCTCCAGAAGGTGGTGGAATACAGCCCGTCCGCTGCCGGGACTGACTGGAGTGCCCCGGTGGAGGCGGCGTTGGCACTGTTGCTCACTTATTCGGATTCGAACCCGTCTATCGCCTCCTCGGCTCTGAGTGCGCTTGAGGCACTCGCGAGTGAGAAGGATGTTAGCCGCACACTGTCTGAGCTGGAGCTGGCCGTGAATACGGCAAAGCAAAACCCGGAACGGTGTCTGCGATGTCTGGCCGCTGTAAATGGGCTCTCGCAGCTGAACAGACTTCGTCCGGCCTTTGAGAGGCAGAACGCGGCGGCGGTTATTATGAAAGGGCTACGGACCTGGGTCGAGTCTCCCAAGTACCCGGAGCAGCAGAAAATAGTGAAGTACGGTTGTCAGTGCATCGATTCGCTCGTCATCGGCAGCAGCAAACCGGTGGACGCCGCAGTGATCGGATTGCTGGAGATCGTCCAGTTACCCGGCACGAAGGCGTTGCGCGACAAACAGGACGACCCTACGGACAACAGTTTGATTGACCTGGCCCGGTCGCTGGAGACACTATGCGCCACGCACCGACTTGGCGGACGCGACGCCGAGATCATCGAAAATTTACTCAAGTGCATCCGTAAGTATCCCGAGGCCAGACGCGCGCAAATTTCTTTCATCAACTGCCTGCGGTCGCTCGTCAGCGTGGACCCCGAGAATGCGCATCGCATAATCGACACGGGAGTGCTTAAGAGTGTCCTTGCCTACATGAGCCGTGTGGCGGTTTATCAAGACGTGCAGCTGGAGGGCTGCAAGTTTCTATTAGCCATTGCGCAGACGGATGAGCGGTCGCTGGCGCAGCTCAAAGGCGCAGACGCGCTACCCGTGGTGCAGACGGCACAGCGGACGCATCGCAGCAATAAGGACTTGGGACACTACACCACGCAATTGATCGGTATGTTGGTGCCGGAGGGCGAGCTGGAGCGGATCATTCAGGAGAACTGTCGGGACCTGGGGAAGGCCATGAACTCGGGCGACTACAAGACGGCGTACCGCTGTTTGGAGAACATTAACGCAGCCACAGTCAGCGGTGAAGGTGCCCGAGTGGCCGCCAAATGTGACCTGGGCCGGCACATTGGGGAGACACAGGACAAACTACAGAAGTGTGGGGAACTGCAGCACCGCGTGGCGATTACGGAGCAGTTGGCGGTTGCCGCAGCGAACTTGGCGCAGAAACCGGTGGGCGCCAATAATCTGATTCGCAACGGAGGTGTTAAGAGGCTTGCACAAATGTGGGAGACGATGGGCGACGGTTCGAAGGAGGGCCGATTGGCTGCGTTGCGTGCGGCGCGGCGTTGTTTGCAGAAGGACCGCAATGAGTCTCAGTCGGCATTCGCGAAGGGTTGGGCGGCGAAGGTGTGTGCGTTTGCAACACAACACGATGATGATCCTGAGATTCTAGTCGAGACGGCGAATGTGATGGGTTCGCTTGTGCCGCAGAAGGAGCTCCTTAAATACGAGGAGTATCGGCGCTGGCTTGCACACTTGTGTAAGAAGCTCAATGAGGATGGCCCGGCTGAGCTCAAGGCGCCGTTGGTCGAAGCACTGGAAAATATCTTACTGGTTGGCGACGACGAAGTTTTGGACATCTTCTTGAAGAATAAGGGGCTGCCTGGCGTCCTCAAGGTCATGGATGAGTCCCCCCACGACTGGCCGACCATGAAACGTTGTAACCGCATTTTGGACGCAGTGAACCGCCAGAAGCAGTTGCGCAGTCGGCTGCAGCAGAAGGAAGATCTGTTGCCCGCGCTGGGGCGTGTGGTACGCAAGGTGTTGCAGGCGCCGAAGATCGAGGTACCGGACGTGGTGGCGCACACACTGCGCAACTACAATGCGGTGATTCTGCCGACAGACACGGGCCTGTTTGCGGAAGTGGATCTTGTTCCCGAAATTGAACGCATCATGCTCGAGCACCCTGACCACGAGCTGCTCATGAAGGCCTGCGGCGAGTACCTGGGCAAGGTGGGATGCGACCGACAGATCGACTCGCTCTTCCGCCAGATCGTGGATCAGTGCGAAAAGAAGCCGGCTGACTGGACGAAGAACGTCACCAAACTCAATAACCAACTCGCCGTATTCCTCGCCGGCGAACCACAGCGCCCCGAAGACGCCTTTAAACATTGTGCGAAATGTATGGACAAACTTGCAGATGCCGCGCGGAAGGAACCTCCGCTGCTGCCTTCGATCGGACGTGTGGTGCGACGGATCGCGAAACGCAGCCGAGATGACCCCGCCACGCCACACGGTGTGCCGGCCCTCATGCCGAAGATGATGCCCGCGTTCTCCGAGTTACTCGGCAAAGACGCCGGCAAACAGCCGCGAGCCTTCCTTATCGACGGCTTCCACGCCCTGGCCGACATGGCCAGACACGAACCCAGCCACAAGGCGGTCGTGGACAGTGGGCACCAGTTCACAACCATAAAGCAGGCGCAGCGTATGCTCAAAACACACAACACCGATCCCGAGGTCTGCGCCGCAGTTTTAGATTACCTCAGCGCCATCTGCTCACAACCGTATGGCGCCGCTGTACTAGCCCAGGACTCGGACCCTAGTTCCCGACGGATTGGCGACCCCGCATTCGTCGACGACGTCATGGCCCTGATGAAACGATTCAACAAGAACAAGCCACTACTCGACAACGCCTTTGAACTGCTCGGCAACATGGGCCGTAACCAGAAGAAGGCTCCCGCCTTCGTCGCCGACGCGGCCGCGATGCAGGATCTAAATGACATGGGCAAGGAACCGGCCAGTCTGCCGGCCCTCATGAAGATGCACCGCAATCTCGTGGGTAAGGAGCCGCACGCGGCTACCGTGGACGCCTTGGCTCAACTAAAAACCGCTTACAACAACCTCGTCGCCGACCCTGACGTGCCAGACGATCTGAAGGCGGAAGCAGCCGTCGCTTTGGCCGAATTCATCGCTGCCGCCACGACCGAGGCCGGCCTCACGCCTGAGGAGCGAAAGGCCGGCAGCGTGAAGGACATGGTAGCGATGTTCGAAAACCACCGCGGAGACATCCCAACGCTGCTCAAGATGACGCGTGCGGTGCGAGAAGCCGCGCGCGACACAGATGCAAGCGCGAT